CCGCCTCCTCCTGCGATCGCAGACGCTGCTGATGCCACCCATCCGTGTGTGTGTGTGCGTGTGTGTGTGGTGTGTGCGTGTGTGCGTGTGTGCGTGTGTGCGTGTGTGCGTGTGTGCGTGTGTGCGTGTGTGCGTGTGTGCGTGTGTGCGTGTGTGCGTGTGTGCGTGTGTGCGTGTGTGTGCGTGTGTGCGTGTGTGCGTGTGTGCGTGCGTGTGTGTGCGTGTGGTGCGGCGTGTGTGCGTGTGTGCGCGTGTGCGCGTGTGCGCGTGTGCGCGTGTGCGCGTGTGCGCGTGTGCGCGTGTGCGCGTGTGCGCGTGTGCGCGTGTGCGCGTGTGCGCGTGTGCGCGTGTGCGCGCGTGCGTGCGCGTGTGCGTGCGCGTGTGCGTGTGTGCGCGTGTGTGCGCGTGTGCGCGTGCGCGTGTGCGCGTGTGCGCGTGTGCGCGTGTGCGCGTGTGCGCGTGTGCGCGTGTGCGCGTGTGCGCGTGTGCGCGTGTGCGCGTGTGCGCGTGTGCGCGTGTGCGCGTGTGCGCGTGTGCGCGTGTGCGCGTGTGCGCGTGCGCGTGTGCGCGCGTGTGCGCGTGTGCGCGTGTGCGCGTGTGCGCGTGTGCGCGTGTGCGCGTGTGCGCGTGTGCGCGTGTGCGCGTGTGCGCGTGTGCGCGTGTGCGCGTGTGCGCGTGTGCGCGTGTGCGCGTGTGCGCGTGTGCGCGTGTGCGCGTGTGCGCGTGTGCGCGTGTGCGCGTGTGCGCGTGTGCGCGTGTGCGCGTGGTGCGCGTGCGCGTGTGCGCGTGTGCGCGTGTGCGCGTGTGCGCGTGCTGCGTGTGCGTGTGCGTGTGCGTGTGCGTGTGCGTGTGCTTGTGCGTGTGCGTGTGCTTGTGCGTGTGCGTGTGCGTGTGCGTGTGCGTGTGCGTGTGCGTGTGCGTGTGCGTGTGCGTGTGCGTGTGCGTGTGCGTGTGCGTGTGCGTGTGCGTGTGCGTGTGCATGTGCGTGTGCGTGTGCGTGTGCGTGTGCGTGTGCGTGTGCGTGTGCGTGTGCGTGTGCGTGTGCGTGTGCGTGTGCGTGTGCCGTAATGCTTTCGCGTGGTTAGCGCGTGGTGTTTCCGCGTCATGTTGTGCTGTGTGCGTGTGTGCGTGCGTGCGTGCGGAGTGCTTGCGTGCGTGGTCGTGCGTGCGTGCGTGCGTGCGTGCGTGCTCGTGCGTGCGTGCGGGTGGGTTGTGGTGTGTGTGTGCGTTGCGTGCGCGTGTGCGTGTGTGTGTTTGTGTGTGTGTGTGCGCGTGTGTGCGTGTGAGCGTGCGTGTGCGTGTGCGCGTGCGCGTGTGTGGTGGGTGGTGGTGGATGGGGTGGGTGGGTGGTGGTGGGTGGGTGGTGGGTGGGTGGGTGAGTGGTGGTGGTGTTTGTGTGCGTGTGTGGGGTGGGGGGGTAGGGGGGGGGGGGGGGGCAAGTTCCCCCCTGCGATCGCAGATGCTGCTGATGGAACACATCTGGGAGGCACAGATCCCCCTCTTCCCCCTGCGATCGCAGATGCTGCTGATGCCACCCATCTGGGAGGCACAGATCCCCTTCCTGCTGCGATCGCAGATGCTGCTGGTGCAACCCATCTAGGAGGCACCGATCCTCCTCCCCCCCCTGCGATCGCAGAAGCTGCTGATGCAACCCATCTGGGAGGCACAGCTCCCCCTCCTCATGCGATCGCAGATGCTGCTGATGCAACCCATTTGGGGGCACAGGTCCTCCTCCTGCAATCGCAGGTGCTGCCGGTGCAAACCAGCTGGGAGGCGCAGTTTCCCCCCCCCCCCCCCCCCTGCGATCGCAGGTGCTGCTGATGCAGCCCACCTGGGGAGCGCAGATCCTCCTCCTCCTCCTGCGATCGCAGATGCAGCTGATGCAACCCATCTGGGAAGCAGGGATCCCCCTCCTCCTCCCGCGATCGCGGGTGCTGATGATGCAACCCATCTTGGAGGTGCAGATCCGCAGGTGCTGCTGGCGCAACCCATCTGGGAGGCACAGATCTTCCCCATGCGATTGCAGATGCTGCTGATGCAACCCACCGGGGGGGGGGGGGGGGCGCAGATCCCTCTCCCCCCTGCGATCGCAGATGCCGCTGGTGCAACCCATCTGGGGGGGGGGGGGGGGGGGGAGGGGGGGGGGGGGGGGCGCAGATCCTCCTCCTCCTGCGATCGCAGATGCTGCTGATGCGACCCATCTGGCGGGGGAGGGGAGGGGCGCAGTTCCCCCTCCTGCTGCGATCGCGGGTGCTGCTGATGCAACCCATCTGGGAGGCACAGATCCTCCTCCCCCTGGGATCGCAGATGTTGCTGATGCAACCCATCTGGAGGGTGGGGAACGCAGATCCCCCTCCCCCTGCGATCGCAGCTGCTGCTGATGCAACCCATCTGGCGGGCGCCGATCCTCCTCCTCCTCCTGCGATCGCAGAAGCTGCTGGTGCAACCCATCTGGGGGAAGCAGATCCTCCTCCTGCTGCGATCGCAGATGCTGCTGGTGCAACCCATCTGGGAGGCACAGATCATCCCCCTACTCCTCCTCCCCCTGCGATCTCAGATGCTGCTGGCGCAACCCACCTGGGAGGCACAGATCCTCCTCCTCCTCCTCCTCCTCCTCCTGCGATCGCAGACCTCATCCTGCAGTCGCAGATGCTGCTGATGCAACCCACGTGGGAGGCACAAATCCTTCTCCTCCTGCCATCGCAGATGCTGCTGATGCAACCCAGTTGGGACACACAGATCCCCGTCCTCCTGCGATCGCACATGCTGCTGATGCAACCCATCTGGGTGGCATACATCCTCCTCCTCATGCGATCGCAGACGCTGCTGATGCAACCCATCTGGGGGGCACAGATCCTCCTCCTCCTCCTGCCATCGTAGATGCTGCTGATGATGCTGCTGGCGCTGCTGATGCTGCTGGAGCCGCCATGGAGGACAGCGCTCGCCCGACGGCCACGGCAGAGGGAACGCGTGTTGCTTCCCCCCCGGATCCCGAGCGTGCGCCGGCGATCGGTGGCTTTTTTGGTTCGAAGGGGGCCGTGCCGACCTGAACGGGCCCAGGGACACACAAACAGATAGAAACATATCCCTGGAACCCCCAGATGTTTTCAGTAGCTTCTGGATGTTCGTCTCCTCCTACACTATCGACGATTGTGTGTGTGTGTCTGTGTGCTGCGTTTTCTCCTGACGATCGTACGCCGACCAGCGCCGATCGCACGCCGTGGGACGCAGAATGACACACTGGTAGGTACTACGTATGCGCCCTCCTCGGAGGCGCCCGTCTGAACCGAACACATCGTACAAACACCGTACAGTATGTCGCGACCGTGGCGGTCTGGCCAGAAAGCGCCCGCAGCCGAGTCTATACCAGTAGATTCCTCAGCGCGCGCGTCGCGCCTGAGGGGGCGACGTACACATATAATTAACGCACACGTCGAATAACTGTGTTTGGGTGATGCCGATCGTACGCCGCCTGTCGTACGCCGATCGGTACCGATCGCACGCCAATCGGTAACGATCGTAGCGATCCTGAGAGGATCGTGTCAATCGTGCGCCGACCATCCGACGCAGACGACCGAGGAGAAAAACTGCTCCTCCCCTCCTCCTTGAGGTAGCCGCAGGGACAGCCCAGAACCGAGGGAGGGTGCAGGGAGACTGTCAGGACAGAAAGGCACCCACGATCTATAAGGGTCGGCATGCAGCGAAGACTGTCAAAGGCTGGAAGCATGCACGGCTGGACCCACATGTGGGAGATCTGGGGCCCACTTGCTGGACACACGCGTGCATAATCACCACAGGACTTCTGCCTTGTCCGATATGTTCTACGATACGCATGCGCCACTTCGGCGCTGAAGATTCCAGCTCCTTCTCAACCGAGCGCGCTGCGAGCGATACCAGCCCAGTCGGCGGTGGAAGGCATCGAGGCCATGGAGCGCAGGGTCTCCCTAGGAAACCTGGGCCAACCCCACGACAATACCTTGAGCACGCGCCCAACGAACCTGGCAGGCACAGCCGCATGCATGTGCAAGGGGATGATCGTCCGGACGGGCTTCTTGCAAATTGCCAACAAGACCACGTCAGAAGGATGAGGGAGGTCATCTTGATGACCAAGCAACTGGGCCAATCCTCCCCGTGCTCCCCCCTGGCTACGAATCCACGGAAATCTCTGGGGGATCTCTGGAGGTTCCGGACGGCCCTGGAAGGTCCCTGGAGGCCTCCAGAAGCCCATCAAAAACCAAAGACGTCAAAAGAGAAGGAGGAGCAGGAGGAGGAGGACCCATCTTCTCCAACGCCGCAATCTGTCCGTGACATGGCCACAAGGGCTCTCGATTCGTTCCCGCGAGCTGGCTTTTCGTCCTGGGTTTTGTGGGGCCGATGACTGGCCCTGGATCGGTGTCTGTGTCCTCCCACGACCAGTGCAGGTGTATAGTCGGCGCCCCCCTTCCGAGGAGAGGAAGGCGACGAGGAGGTGGTGGAGAAGCGAGGAGGAGAAGCGAGTGGGGTGCCTGCCATCTGGGGAGGAGAGGAAGGAGGAGGAGGAAGGAGGAGGAGGAGGAGGAGCGGATGGAGGAGGAGGAGGAGGAGGAGGAGGAGGACGAGGAGGAGAAGTGAGAAGTTGAGGAGGGTGAGGAGGACTGCGGTGGAGGAGCAGGAGGAGGGATGAGGAGGACGAGGAGGAGGATGAGGAGGAGGAGGAGAAGGGGGACGAGGAGAAGGACGAGGAGGAGGACGGGGAGAAGGACGAGGAGGAGGCGCGGAGGAGGAGGACGAGTGAGAGGACAGGAGGAGGACGAGGAAGAGGAGAGGAGGGAGGAGTAAGGAGGGAGGCGAAAGCAGGAGGCAAGCAAGACGGAGGAGGAGGGAGGGAGCAGGGAGCGGGAGAGGAGGAGGAAAGAGGAGGAGGGAGGGAGGAGGAGAGAGGAGGAGAGCGAGGAGTGAGAAGTGAGATAAGGAAGAAGTGTGGAAGAGAGGAGGAGGAGGAGGCGGCAGGAGGAGAGAGCGAGATTGAGGAGGAGGAGGAGGAGGAGGAAGAATATGAGAAAGGGAGGGGCAGAGGAGTGAGCCTGCAGGCTGGCAGTTGGCGCCCTCCGGTGGACCTCTCGCCGCAGCCGCGAGATCCCGGGCCAGGAGCCGCAGAAGCAGGCGACCAGCCCGGCCCTGGACGGGCTGGCCGCGCGAACCTCGCCGCAGACCTTCCGCCGCTGCCCCTTTCGCCGCAGACCTCCTCCCCCTGCTCCTGCTGCTGCTGCTGCTGCTCCTCCGCCTCCTCATGAAGGGAATACTCAAAACCTCTCACAGCCACATTTTACCTCCTCTCACATCCTTAATGCCTTCACTCCTCCTCCCAGGCCCCTTCTTCCTACTAACCTTCATCCTCCTCCTCCTCCCCTCCTCCTAATAATCATCCTCCTACGTCTCCTTCTCCGCCCTTCCTCCTCTCCCGTCCTCCGCTCCCTCCTCCTCAATACCTCCTCGTCTCCCCACCCGCCCTCCTACCTCACCCTTCATCCCTTCTCCATCCTACCTCCTCCCTCCCATCACTCCCTCCCTGCCTCCGCCCCCCGCCCTGCCGTCCCTACTCCCTCCCCCTCCTCCTCCTCCTCCTCCTCCTCCTCCTCCTCCTCCTCTCCTCCTACTCCTCACTCCTTCGGCATCCTCACTCCTCCCTCCATCCCTCCTCTCCCTCCCTCCTCCCTCCCTCCCTCCCTCCCTCCTCCCTCCCTCCTCCCTACTAACCTCCTACTCCCCCTCCCCCTCCCTCCATCCCTCTCTCCCTCCTCCTCCTCACTCCTCCTCCGTCCCCTCCTCCTCCGCCTCTCATCCTCCTCCTTCCTCTCCCTCCAACTCTCCTCCAACTCCTCCATCCCTCCATCCCTCCGCCCGCCCCTACTCCGCCGTCCCCCTTCTCCCTCCTCCCTCCTCCCTCCTCCGCTCCTCGTCCTCCTCCTCGTCCTCTCTCCCGTCCTCCTCGTCTTCCCCTCGTCCTCCTCCTCGTCCTATGCTGTGCTTCCATCTCCTCCTCCTCATCCTCCACCTTTTCCTGCTCCTCCTCCTCATCATTCTCCTCGTCGTCCTCCTCCTCCGCCTGCTCCTCCTCGCTCTCCTCGTCCTCCTCGTCCTCCTTGTCTTCCTCGTCCCCCTCGTCCTTCTCGTCATCCTCGACATCCTTCTCCTCCTCCACGTCGACCCCCGCGCCCTCCTCGTCCTCATCCTCGACCTCGCCGGTTTCCTCCATTTCCTCCTCCTCCTCCTCCTCCTCCTCCTCCTCCTCCTCCTCCTCCTCCTCTTTCTCCCCTCCTCATCCTACTGCTCCTCCTCCTCCTCCTGATCTCTTCTGCGTCTTATTACTATTATTATTTTGTTATTATTATTATTAGTAGTAGTATTATTAGTATTAGTATTATTAGTAATACTATTATTATTAGTATTCTATTATTATTATCATTATTATTATTAGTATTATTATTACTATTACTATTACTAATATTAATATGATTATTATTATCATCAGTATTAGTAGTAGTATTATTATTAGTATTAGTATTAGTATTAGTATTAGTATTATTATTACTAATATTATTGTTATTATTATTGTTATTATATTATTATTAGTAGTATCGTTAGTATTATGATTATTATTATTAGTATTATTATTAGTAATATTATTCATATTACTAGTATTATTAATATTGTTATTAATATTATTGTTATCCTTAGTATTATTAGTATCCTTGTTATTAGTATTAGTATTATTCCTCCTGTTTCTCCTCCTCCTCCACCCCCTCCTCCCTCCTCCAAATCATTATCCTCCTCCTCCTCCTCCTCCTCCTCCTCTTCCTTCGCCTCATCCTCCTCCTCCTCTCCCTCCTCCTCCTCCTCCTCCTCATCCTCCTCCTTCTCCTCCTCCTCCTCCTCTTCTTCCGCCTCCGCCTCCGCATCCTCCTCGTTCTCCTCTTCCTCCTCCTCCTCCTGCTCCTCCTCATCCCTCTCCTCCTTCTCCTCGTCCTCCTCCTCCTCCTCCTCCTCCTCCTCCTCCTCCGTCTACCCCCTTATCGTCATCCTCGTTGTCTTCTTAGTATTATTTTTGATAGTCGTATTAGTATTTCTGTTTAGTCTGATTATTACTCTTCGCACTCTTACTACTATTCGTGGTATTCGTATTCTTCGTAGAGGTACATTATTATTCTTCTTTCTAGTACTACTTTCCTGTTTAGCATTCGTAAGACGATTTCTCGCATTCGTATGCTCAGTCTTCGAATTAGTAATAATGTTAGCATTCATCTTGTGAGCATAAACGACACTAGTATGATTTGTGTTCGCATTTCTTGTAGTATTAGTACGGGCATTCATAATAATAGTATCAACATTGGATTAGCATGATTACAAATACTATTAATGCTATCATTAATACTATTCGTACCAGTATTGCTACTGATAGTGAAAGTATGGTTGATACTATTACTACTCGGTGTCGCTTTCGTCGTTTCGTATTCGTCTTCTTCCTCCTCCTCCTCCTCCTCCTCCTCCGCCTCCTCCTCCCCCTCCTCCTCCTCCGCCTCCCTTTCCTCATCCGTCTCCGCCTCCGCCTCCGCCTCCTCCTCCTCCCCCTCCTCCTCATCCATCTCCTCCTCTTCCTCCTCATCCGCCTCCTCCTCC